CCTCGAACTCACAGAGATCCGCCTGCCTCTGCCTCCCGAGTGCTGGGATTAAAGGCGTGCGCCACCAACGCCCGGCAAGCAACAACTGCTCTTAACTGTTGTGTCGTCTCTCCAGTCCTTCAAGAGAAATTTTAAAGCATGGTGGGAAGTTGGACATTGTGGCATATTACCTTTAATCTCTGTACTCAAGAGGCCGACGCAGGTGGATTGCATCTCTGAGTTATAGGCCAGCCTGGTCTACATAATGAGTTCCAAGCTAGCCAGAGCTACATAGTGAGACTTCATCTCAAAAAGAAAGAAAAAAAGCAATGGGCAGTGGTGGAGCACACCTTTAATCTCAGCACTCAGGAGGCAGAGGTGGGCAGAACTCTGTGAGTTCGAGACCAGCCTGGGCTACAGAGTGAGATCTAGGACAGACTCCAAAGCTACACAGAGAAACTCCATCTTGAAAAAAAAACAGGAAAAAAAAAAGAATTGTTTTCTTCAAGTCTGTTTATATGAAAACATGTTGAGTGCTTTGATGTAAGCCTACACTTTCAGTACTTGGGAGGCTGAGGTGGGAGGATTACTTGAGCCCACAAATTTGAGACCGGTTTGGACAAAACAATGAGAGCCTGTCTCAAAACCAAAAATAAACTGGGTATGGTGTCATGTGACTCTAATCTCAGCACTTATAAGACAGACAGAGTGAGTTAGAGGATGGCCTGGGCTGTACTGTGAGGTATAGAACAGCTTGGAAGGCAGGAGCAGGTGGATTTCAATGAGTTTGAGGCCAGCCTGTCCTACAGAGCGAGTTCCCTGACAGCCAAGGCTACACAGAGAAACCCTGTCTCAAAAAAACAAAAACAAAACAAAATGTTAAAAAATAGGTCCTCATTTTCTGCCCTTTCTGAAGAACAGCCTGCCCTTTTTTTGAAAGGGTTAATCCTCTACAACCTCATCATCCCCAGGGTACGTTGCCTTTAGTCTGTTGGATAGTGCAGTAAAACCCGAAGTTTCTTTTTAAGTTGAACTCTTTTTCTCGATTGAGGTTTTTCCTCTGCTTGCTTGTTTTTGTCTCTGCTCTTCGAGGCAGGGTCTCTTGTAGCCTCCCACTTGCTCTCCAGCCAGAGACGATCTTGAACTTGTGTTCATCCTGCTTTCACCTCCTCCTTGCTTAATTCGGGTTTTATTATTTTTTCTTAATTTAAAGGTTTTATTTTATGTGCATGGGTGCTGTGGTTGCACGTAAGACTACGCATCACTTGATTGCCCTGTGTCGACAGAGGTCAGAAGAGAGCGCTGGATCCCCTGGAACTAGAATTGCAGATGCGGGTAGTGGGAACTGAACCCAGGTCCTCTGGAAGAGCAGCCAGTGCTCTTGACAGCTGAGCCGTCTCTCTAGACCCTTAATTCAGGTTTTAAAAACACAATTTCCATGGGGCTGGAGAGCTGGCTTGGTGCCTAGGAGCACTTACTGCTCTTGTAGACGACCCAGTTCAGTTCTCAGCACTCAGGGCTTGGCTGCTCACCACCGTCAGTGGATCTGACACCTTCTTCTGGCTTCTGAGGGCACCAAGCATGCATGTAGTGCACATACATATTTGTAGGCAAAGACACATAAAAATAAACCTTTAAAAACAAAACCCAATTTCTATATGAGCAGCTACTATGTAGCTACTATTGCTAGACCCACGTCAATGTTCTAACCCAAATGGTAGTTTGCCCTGTATGGTCACTGATAGAACCCAGAAGGATCTGTTTAAAGAAAGAGACTCATCAAAACAAGCTTTAATTCTTGAAGTTGGGAGGAAGTAGCATAGACTCAGTTTTAAAATTAGAAGAAGTGTGTTCTCACTTATTCACAGAAGCTGAAAAAGTCAACGTTGTAGAAGTATAGTGCAGAACAGTGCCTCGAGGGGTGAGGAAAGGAGGGCAGGTACAAGGATGCACTCAGGTTAAACCGTGTGTGTGTGTGTGTGTGTGTGTGTGTGTGTGTGTGTGTGTGTGTGTGTGTGTGTGTTTCCACATGTCAGTATGTGTACGTGCATGCAGGTGCCCAAAGAGGTTAGCGGAGGGTGTGGGAACTCAGGAGCTGTAGCTACAGGCTGTTGTGAGTCCCCTTACGGGGTGCTAGAACTTAATTCTGGTCCTCTGGAAGAGCAGCAGATGCTCTTAACCTCTGAGTCACCTTCTCCAGCATCTCTGATGTTTTTCAGCACAGTATGAAAACTATGGTTGTTGACACTTAATGGTCTATCTTTAAATAACGAGTGGAAAGGAACTGGGATGTTCCTGCTACAGCATACTGACCAGTCTAGGATCGTTTGCTAGGTGCCTTGGTCTCTGTTCATTGCACCTTGGATAGAAGTATCACTGTGCCCATAAAGATGTAGTTACTAGAGAGCAATTGAAGGTTTTTTAAAGGGAGAAAAAATTCTTGATTAGAAGTGAGACCCCAGTGGGGCTGGGGAGATGGCTCAGAGGTTAAGAGAGTGTACTGCTCTTCCGGAGGACCTGAGTTCAGTTCCTAACACCTGTGTCAGGGTTAGGAACTTCATCTGTAACTCCAGCTCCATAGAGTCCAACAGGTCAAACATCCTCTCTGGCCTCTGCTGGCACTAGACACACACACACACACACACACACACACACACACACACACACTTAAAAGTTCTTTTGCTTAAAAAGATTTTATTGCCAGGCGGTAGTGGTGCACGCCTTTAATCCCAACATTCAGAAGGCAGAGACAGGTGGATCTCTGTGAGTTTGAGGCCAGCCTGGTCTACAGAGTGAGTTCCAGGACAGGCACCAAAACTACACAGAGGAAACCCTGTCTTGAAAAACCAAATATATATATATATATTTAAATTACGTAAATAGGTGTGTCTGTGTTTGGGTTTGTGCACATGTGTGTGTTGCCCACAGAGTCTGGAGGAGGGCATTGAATCAGTTGGAGCTGGAATTACAGGGAGGCAGTGATAAACTGCCTGCCATGGATATTGGGAACCAAACTTGAGTCCTCTTCAAGAGCAGCATAGCCCTCTCTTCAGCACTCCAAAATAAAATAAAAATTTAAAAAAGTAAATGTGGACTCTTTATGCATGTACAAAACTTAAAATGAGGTGGGGATATAGTTAGGTTAGAAAGCACTTGCTCAGCATTCATGATACCCTAGGACCAATCTCCAGTATCAGTTTAAAAAGAAATGGCTGGAGCAATGGCTGCTCTCCCAGAGGTCCTGGGTTCGATTCCCAGCACCCACATGGTGACTCACAAGTATCTCCAGTTCGAGATACTAACAGTGGCTCCAGTTCAAGGAGATCCATCCAACACCCTCTTCTGACCTCTGTGAACACACATACACTCAGGCGCACACACATACTCATAAAATAAATAAATATTTTAAAAAATCAACTCAAAGGGAACAAATGTTACAACTATCAAATTCTAGATAGAAGTCTGGCCTACACAGCAAGACCCTGTCATGAAAAAATTAACAACAGCAATAATAATAATGAGGGACATGGAAATGAAATAAATGGAATGTGCACAAATTATATGTACATAGAGTAAAATGTAAAAATCATGAGTAGTAGATTTTTTTTCTGGCAGAATATGTGTAATTTGTAAGTCCTTTTAGGATTGGTTCTGTGCAAAGAGTGTATTTTAGAAACTTGTTCTCAGACTTTTCAGCTGCTCACCAGTCTTTTGTCTGTTGATTCCAGGATTTAAGCATTGAGGAGCAGTCAGAATGTACTCAGGACTTTTACCAGAATGTGGCCGAAAGAATGCAGACTCGTGGGAAAGGTAATGTGTTGTTAGCCAGCTGTTAGGGGCAGCTGATTGTAGCTTAAATTAGCTGTTCTCTGCTCCTCTGATTGGCTTGGCTGGTGCACATCCAGACATTGACAGCCATCTCATACCTCCAACACCTTTAAATGTCTTCCTCCCTATGTATGACCAGGACAGTTGGTAGTATTTTGAGTAATGTAATACCTTTATTATGGGTAAAGTGAGGAAGACCAAAAGTGCTCAGGAAGTTCTCTATATCAATTTCCACCTTAGAATTGCCATTTTGAGCCAGGCGGTGGTGGCGCACGCCTTTAATCCCAGCACTTGGGAGGCAGAGCCAGGCGGATCTCTGTGAGTTCGAGGCCAGCCTGGGCTACCA